CTGTGATATCTCTGCATCTCTTACTTTGCATAATACTGACATCTTGAAACCTTTCTGAAGTAATACTGACTTGAATGCTGCGTGTATTCCTTTGCTGCTCACAATGTAAGATAGAGACGACTTTTACTCATGCCATTGGCAACGTCAGAAAGTTGAAATATTAGATTCTTCCTTCATCTTTCCTGAACCATGGAAGCAGCTGCTGACTTCAACTCAGAGACTGTTTTTTCGCATTGCAAATTGGCTGCATAGGACAGATCTTCAGAAACTGGGGGAGTATTAGAGGTGCATGCCCAGACATGCACCTTAACAGTCAGAGAGAAATATAGGGCTATTTGGCAACAGCAGCCAGCTGCTGACAAGGGAAAAAGTACTTCAGAGTTATATTAGGGATTTTTGGTGTGTCTGGACAAATACATGCAAGAGTTATTGAACTGAGGAAAAGAAAAGGCTTGGGTATTAACTGTGGGTCCATGATCTCTAACAGACAAACGAAAGGATCCCTGGTCCCAGGTTTGTCTTTAACATGACATTTTCTTTTCAAAACTATGAATATGACAACTATAAACTCTTGAGTCTGAATTATGTCTATGGAGAATGCCAAAATACCAAAACATGGGCAAACATTGGACTTTAATAAGGTGGAAACCATTTGTGGTGATCATGGTTAAAGTTATCAACCATTTTTTATAGGTCAACAATTTTGGGAGAGAATCATTACAATGCAAATATGTTTGGGAAATACTTTGCATGAGTAATTTATAAATTATATTAATTAATTTTGGGGAGAACAAAATTTAAAGAAAACCACTGCAAACTGTCATGCGCCCCAGCTCTCTACTAACTTATCATTTATGTATCGCATGTGTAATCCTCATAATTGGAGAATCAATGAGCCAAATATTTTTGTTTTGCCTGCACAAACCTGCACATAATATACCAAAGAGTGATTCACCACTTTTGAGTTATTTGGATGTTAATGGGGCAGTGAGGTGCTGAGTCCTCCACTTGCACATACAGGTCTGAAGCTGTTCACTCATGCACAGGTGACCAAGCAGCACCACTTCTAAACTCAATCATTTTAGATTACAGGCGATTACAATAGGTCAACAGGTACATTTTGATGAAAGGATATATCATATGCTCAACTGGTTATAAAATCACAATATCATTCTTAACAACAAAGGTGAAGCCCATGATCAATTTGTGAAACAATGCACACATTGGCCAGATTAATTTAGTGGGCTTTGCATTTGA